GAGAAGAAGTTTTATCTTCAGGAACTTTTTATGTTGTAAATTAATACAAGAACAAGACTAGACATAAACTAAATGACTACTAGTATGTAGCATTGCACTGGCAATAAACATCAACACTGTTTTACATAAAAACTTATATGACTAAGATAGTGAGTAATACTTTGCTGCAATACTGTAAAATTGTACTAAAAATTCACTGGTCTGTACGAAACAAAAGATCTGACAACGTTTCGGTGTAATCACGAAGAACACATTATGTTTGAAAGCCTGTAGCGAAAAAGAGATACATTGGAGAGTCACACTTTTCCTGCAATCTGTCCAGTACTTTGTCCATGGATGACTGTGGATGCTTATGAGATTCAGGGGCTGAGCTTCCCTCTTTGCTACTCTGTTGCTCAGTCAGACTGGCCTTCTTCATAGCTGCATAACCTTTTCTGTCCTTAGTAGCAGTCCAGACTTTGAAAGTTTTCTCAAAGTCAAAGGACTCTAATGGTTTAGACTGACTTTAGAATGCAAGGACAAGGTCATCAGTGTCTCAACATGATCCACACGAAGCATTTTACGAGCATCAGTTTTAATATGATTATAGGTGCTAAACCCTCTCTCGCAATCAACTGAGGTAACTAGGATTGTAACTCCAATACAAGCCATGCGGTGTCATGAAGGAAACCCTTGTAAAATGCTGCCAAATCCACGTACTTGAATTGTTCCTGTTGCGTTACATTTTTCAGTAGAACCCACTCAACTTTGGCTGATGATGTATCTATGAATGCCTCACACCTCTTAAGCAAAGTGTTGAACTCAGATTCATCTTAACGGCTGCTGCTAGATGATGCACTAGGCTTAGCAGCTCAATAGTCATCATGCAGATGCTGTCATGAAAGGTAACAGCAAGCCTGTTATCAAGTTGCTCAAGAAATGCTTCAGCAGTAGCTTGGAACTTTTCCCTCTGCGATAGAGAATCTTTTATATCATGTCCATGGAAGATAGCGTAGTTACTTGGACATAGCTGGTCTGGCATTATATTTATGATAAGCATTCACAGTGGCAATTTTCATGTGTTGTTTTAACTTTGGCTGAATAACAGTATCACGATGATCAACCGTCTTTTCATGCTTAATCAGATCGTCCCATTTTGGCCTGTCCAAATCTTAGCCGAGCGTAAAGATGTTGTCTTTTTTTTTAGCCTCAACGCACACAGAGCATTTCAGCAGATCGCCCTTCACTATTAACCATGTAAAGTCTTTGAACCATTGAGCCTTAACAGTCTCGAGTGGTCACGATCAAACTTCTTTTTCTGTTTGCCTGGATCGTTATCATTATTGATCTTTTCTGGGACTGGCAGGAAAAAAAGACGATATTAGTTTGATTTCTTTCTTGGAGCCTGGGAACTTTACGGAACTCAGATTGACCCAAGTAAGGCTATCTCTGATTGTGTGGGTAAATTTCTATTCTCAATAAAGACGACAAACTTCAGATAAACGTTCATTTATTCAACTCGGCATTTTGGCTTACACCTTTTTCAAGGGTCAATGAAGGGGGAGAAAAAATAGTTAAACTGTTTTAAATCTTTGTTCCCAGATCAAAGCTGAAAAATTAGCTATCTCAAAATTTTGCTTCTAAAACTGAAAATCAAAGTTTTCTAAAGATCTCAACAATATTATTGAGTCACAACAAAATTGAGAAATGACGTCTAATGAGAAAATCTGACGTCATTACTCAACTTTAAATACTGTTTATCAATGAAAAGTATTTTAAAACTTTATAAATGTAATCAAAATAATCAGTAAAATGGATCAACATGATCTAATTCTATAGATGGTTTAGCATAAATATTCATCTAATCTCTACTCTATACTTATAAAACTGATAAAAAATAATTGGACAGAAATTATGAAATCAACTACACTCAAAAAACTTATATGATGCACATTACATTTTCAAAATTAAATAAAAAAAGGGGGAAATTATACACGGAGTTTAAAAACCATAACAAAATACAAGTTTGGCTGTCCGGTAGATGTCACCACAAGCATATATTCTGAGCATAACGTCCAGTATGTAGGCCAAACTAAAACAACTATACAGGAGCGGTTTAATAACCACAAATCTTCAATAAAACGAACAAAAACTTCCGGTTGCAGAGCGTTTCAACATGACTGACCACTCTCTTGACGACATGATACTGAAAGGTATAGAGACAAATTTTACATCAAACAGAAACAGGGAAATTAAAGAAGCTTATTGGATAGCACTGTTAAATACTGTAAGGCCGAATGGCATCAATCTCGATCCTGGGATTGTTGACCTTCGAGTGTCTCTAAAAAATTCCTAATAACTTGTAATTAAGTTTGTAAAGTTTTATTATTCACGTTTTTATTCATGCTTCTATTTCTCTACATTATTATTAATTAATAATATAGATCGATACCTGATACCTGAATTAATAATAATGTACATCGATACCTGAATTAATAATATTGTACATCGATACCTGAATTAATAATATTGTACATCGATACCTGAAACAATAATGTAGATCGATACCTGAATTAATAATAATGTACATCGATACCTGAATTAATAATAATGTACATCGATACCTGAATTAATAATAATGTACATCGATACCTGAATTAATCATTATTGTTTCAGGTATCGATGTACAATATTATTAATTCAGGTATTGATCTACATTATTGTTTCAGGTATCGATGTACAATATTATTAATTCAGGTATTGATCTACATTATTATTTTCTCAAGCTCTCATCTTCCTACGTATTTTATTTTTCTCTATCAGTCAAAAGTTTCATACATAATGAAAATTAATAATAATTTTGTTGTTTCTTTCTCTACAAACGAATTCTCCTTTCCGGGATACTAACTGCTTGATAATGGTTGGAGATGTTTTGAATGGGTAATGAAGAAAAACTTTAATATAAGTTTAACATAACAGCAAATGTAAAACGTTTCGACAAGGTTTTGTCATCATCAGGATTTTTCATTCATGTTTTGTTATATTATTCAATGCGTAGAAACTGAAAAACAACAAAAAAGGGACTTAATTAATACTAATCATAATAAAACGGAAATTAAAAAAATCGCCAGAATTGGTTTGTTTGTTTATTTTGAATTTCGCGCAAAGCTACACGAGGGCTATCTGAGCTAGCCGTCCCTAATTTAGCAGTGTAAGACTAGAGAGAAGGCAGCTAGTTATCACCACACACCGCCAACTCTTGGGCTTCTCTTTTACCAATGAATAGTGGGATTGACCGTCACATTATATAGCGCCCCAACGGCTGAAAGGGGCGAGCATGTTTGGTATCACGCGGATTCAAACCCGCGACCCTCAGATTGCGAGTCGAGCGCCCTAACCACTTGGCCCTAAATTATTTGATTTAGAATTTTTAGAAAAAAAAAGTTAACTTATGTATAAAATATTTAATTTCTAGTTAAATCGTAAACGTGGTTATTATCGCGATATATAAAGT